ATCTTACGGTATCGCCACTGGGTGAATGCTGCGATTTGAAAGGGATCTGTTTTGTAAAACTATGAAGTATTGGATTTGCAATTTGGCACAATTCAAAACATGGGTCACATGATGCTATCACCCGAAGTATGCACCAACTTGCAAGAGTATAATTTCTATATAATGCAAGTGATTTCAGTATAATATTACTTGAGTCACATCCACACACACAACTCTTACTTACACACATTATATATAACAGTACTACTTTGTACAGGGGTGGATCCAGAGATGTCGAAAGGAGGGGCTAATTGAGATAACACCTTGGGGCATTCCCCTGCAAAATTTGTGTTACTCGACGTCCGAAAATAACCTCTGAGGCATTTTGGGCAATCAATTTTTTCTTTTTTTTTTATATTTTTGTTACTTTCCAAAAGGGGAGAAGGGACCGGCACAGCCCCCCCGCCCCCAAATCCCCCGTAGTAATTGGTCTCGTAGTTGGTAACTTACTATTATTGCTTGATGATCTCCTCTGCAAGAAACCTGGCCATTTTCAGGTGAAGATACAGAAGCAGCAGCCATGGTGGTTGTACTAACTGCAACAGCAGTATTACCTTGAGATGGGGTCACTTGAGTTGGGGTTGCTTGAGTCTGTAATGAGCTCAGTATACCCTTTACAGTGGGAAAAAAACAGAGTCAATCAGTTATATTGATCTTATTTTTCCTTATCAAATCATTGTCAGATCTACGATTTAGCAATGGCGGTGAATAATGGGAGGTGTGAAGGGGTGGTTTTGAGAGGGCATCCCCTCCCATTTGAGATTTTTTTGGATTTAGTAGTTTAGATGGCATCTGAAAAGAAGTAAGCTTAAAATGAAAGTGCATGTTTTACCAGAGTACACGAGAAGTACACACACAGAAAATGATTCCATTTGCCAGGAGATTTTGAAAGAAGTCTTACACCTGATTGTGTTTTTCTTCCTCTTTGTCATATTTAGCGCTCTGAGACACTATCGACTTTTTTCTTTAGGCACGAGCGCCAAGGATATGCCAAAAAGTGAACTTAATCACTGTCCTACGTGTCCCTACATTTTAGGCCAAGTCCAACGATTACCCCTACATGCCTGTTGAAAATATAAGCATCCTGAGCTCCAGTGGCATATCTAGGAGTCTTGAAAGGGAGGAGCTGATGGGGAGGGGACACAAAGTTGGAGTAGGGGCCCGATGATTATGTGAGGAGGCGTTAGTTCACAAAATAAGGTTTACTTCAAAACATTTTCAATGGGGGAGGGGGAACAAGTTTTTTTAGGGGAAATGTGCCACTGCTGAGCTCTTGAACCACATCCCACCAACCAGTCAGTTCCATAGAATAAGGAAGAATTGGTTATTAAAGGTGAAGTGGAAGAAGTGTCCAAAAAGAAGTAGAGAGGTGGCATAATCATAAACATTTCTAGTAGGTCTGAGGTGGGTTGCACCCTCTATCTGTAAAACTCCGTCCTTGGGCCACTCTATTCAAATTCCTAGATCTGTCACTGATAATATTTCTATTAAAAAAATAAATGTAATAAGTAGTCATTTTTAAAACATGAGCATCAGATTTTGGGGATCTTATAAAAGTCGCTGTGCAACCTACTATCAAATTATTAAATGAGTCGCGGCTGGTGTAATATACCACAACTTGGAGTTCCAGAGAAAAAAGTTTGGGAAGCAGGAGTTTAGAGAAACATCAGACAGAAAGAGGTGAAAGATTGGAGGGGTATGTTCAACTGGTACTGGTACGGGTATTTATAATGCGCCTCTTCCTTGCGGTTATAAAGCGCAGTTCCTTTCCCTGGTCATTGGGTCCACATGTTACTGTAAGTGTTGCTGCTGGTAATCAGCGCAGAAGCAGGCAACCCCACCAGGTACCCATTTATACTCCTGGGTGGAGAGAAGCAATGCAGATGAAGTGTCTTGCTCAAGGACACAAGCAAAATGCACAGCAAGGGATTGAAAGCCCGACCTCGATGTTGGGAAACCAAACCGTTTCCCGCTGCATCAAACCGCTTCTACTTTCAACAGTGGAATGATGGACCCTGAAGTAAGTAAGGATTATAATACATTTTCATAATTTGACAAGCAAGTCAAAAAATTATGTGCTTTATAAGTTTACTGTATTATATGGATTCAAAAAAGATTCATCAGCTTGTTACAGCTGCATCATTGATCACTTACTGGCTTTTCCATCTGACCTTTTCCAGGTAATGCCATTTCACCATTAATAGAACAATCCTCTGGCTGTCGATTCACAGGTGCATGTAAGGGCTGTTCTTCAGCCAAGGGCTCAGTTTGGTTACTTGAGGTTAGAAGAGCTAGGGTGGTAAGAAAAATAGTAGAATGTGAATGCTCAAACAGGAGAAACATATAAACTTCAACTATTGCATTTTTTAAGAGGTTTTCTGAATTTGTTCAAGCAATAGGCAACCACCACAAATTTCCTTAAATCTTAAAATATAAGTTTTTCTTTGAAAATGGTGAATTATTACAAGAATTCATAAGTACCTATGTTTTCATTCTTCTTTTGTTGGCTGCCAACAACTTGTGAATAAAGCTTAAATTCTGAAAGGTATTTGGAGAGTTCCTCAACCGTTTTACTTTCCAACTGTTCTTTTAACTTCTGAACCAAAACATCAGACTGCTTTACATATTCTTTCAACTGCTTGTTTTCTAATTCAAGTTCCTCAATCCTTTTGGTGAGTTTGGCACAGTCACTGCAAGCTAGTCTTGTCCCAGTATTTGTCACAAGGTCAGGATCAGTACTCATCTTGAAAATCTCTATAAAAAAATTAAAAAAACCTTGATAATTTGTAATAATAAACTGTTATGGATAATACACAATTTGGTCATGTTTAAAACACACAAGCATTGACTTTCTTAGGTCAAGATGCCATGTATCAGGGTCTGCGAACACACATTTTTATCAGTCACAAATTCAAGTTCTCCAAGGTTGGTAACCATGATAGTTACTGTATGTTCTATTCAAAAAATGAGGTAATAAAGATAAGAGAAAAATTGTTGGTACCAGACTAGTTTGCTTTAATTATACAAAAGTATCATCCGGCCAGCCTTAGGGTATTGCAACATAATTCGAACTCCTTTGTTAAAAATTAGTGATTTCTTTATTAGAGAAATGAAGCATGAAATGAATGAAGTCCATGTGAAATAAGTCTCGAAAAAATGCATTTTTGTTAATACAACAATCACATGTTGGCAAAACCGTCACTACAAAAACACCCACTAAAATTAACTTATAGGCCCTATGCAACTAGAGAGGGAGACATAAGCCATAGCTTTACGTCTATAGTAGCAGGTCAAAACGGCAATAAACCAAACGGCAATGACCAAAACGGCAATAACCAAAACGACAATGACAAATACCAAAATGGCATACCAAAATGGCAAAGTACCAAAATCAATGCCACGACTATGCGCAGGCCGCAGTTTATAATTTTCTGAGTCGTTTTGAAATTGTCCCGTATTTTTTTACCGTATTTAATCGCGTTACATTTTCATGTTTATAATTAGTTAATTTTTTTTGCGTTTTTACTTTTATGACAATAAATTGTTTAGCATCGTTTTGGTCTTGCCGTTTTGACTTATTGCCGTTTTAGTCTATTGCCGTTCTGGTTAAAATGTGTTGCCATTTTGTTTCTTTGCTGTTTTGGTCATTGCTGTTATGACTTTAATTGCCGTTTTGGTTTATTGCTGTTTTGTCCAGAATCTGTAGATCCAGGTAGGTATGTATGCTTATAAGTTCAAAAGTATGCCAATTCAAATTACATTTCTGTTAGACATGAATGGACAATAAAGAATTATTGAGATTGAAGGACTGAAGTTACCGTTACCGTATACAAACCTTTGTAGATGCCGCTGTATCGAAATACGTGTCGCATCGCAGGGAATTCCCCTAATTAGTGCCCATTACTATTACAACAGGGAGTATTAGAAGTATCATTATCAAGCCTACACGCCGCCAGTCACGTATACTACATACAATTGCAGAAGTGAGGTCCTACTCACACGTCGCGAGCAAGAAACATTTTTTTCGGAAACTAATCCATTATTATATTCCGGAAATTCATGATGTTTGCATGTTTTTACCACAAGTTTTGTCAGCAGATGATCAAATCTCGCAGTAAACCTCCCGGATATGGCTCTTCCAGCTTGTGTTTGTTTGAGAGCATGTAGGCCTTCATTGGCCTAATCCTCTATGCCTAGGCACTAGGTAGGCCGATTATAAACTATTTATCATGGTATATGATCAGATAAACTCCATTCAATGAAGTTAAGAAATGCATGAGAATAAATATTTCAAATCTTTCATAAGAAACTTACCTTTAGATACGTCAATGATCCTGAAACTGTTCAATCAAACGGTCGTCAATTACCTACCGTGTTCGGTTTTCGTCTCGAGTGCGACAGGGAAGTACAGTGTAGTTTTGGTGGTTTTGGTTTTGGTGGTGTGCATGAACGTCTGTATGGGCGGCATGCGTATGGAACGCCAGAATTAATCTAATACCGTAATGGGTTATTTTGGGCTATATAAGTTGAACGAAAATTTCCTTCATTTTTATTCAAGTTACATTATACCTCCTCTTTGGATTTTGTAATAAATTTGTAAATAATGATAAAAATATTTTTTATTAATAATAATGATAACAATAATAATAATAATGTATTCATTATTTATATTTGTTTCATCATGTGTAACTCTTTAATGAATCACAGTAGATTGAGGCATTTCTGTAAGTGTTCCGCCATAGTGCATAGCAGTATGACTGAGTTCTGGAAGGGGAGGTCTTCAAAATCCCAACTTGTGGTTTAAGATGCTTAAGAAGAGGGTGGTGTATCACATTTATCTGTTACATAGGCATGCACCAAATACTAGCGTTGCATCGGCATACTGAGGGAGTGTGAATTAAATCATTGGCCTCGACCAGTTGTTTAGCATCTACAACGACAGCAGAATGTCCTAGGTTCGTATCCTGCTTGACATGATTTTTTCACTCACATATTCTTCATCTTTTAGTGCACAGGACCTCTCGGGATGTAACTTTTATTCAAAAAATTATTTCACATATTATAATAGCAGGCGCTTCAGCACTAGCTCACACTGACCCGTTATTTACGTTCCTCAACTTACTCAAATTTAAAGACATAAATGTACTTTAACAATGCAGTTTTCTTTATTCTTCAACTAAATCCTTATACCCCCCTCAATTCTGTAGCTTATTCCACCCAAACTCATATTACCACTCCTATCGTACTAGATCTGCACTTGGTTTGCATATTCCCCAGCATAAAAAGACTTCTTTTCAGCATAATATTAGATTTAGCGGACCCAAACTATGGAACAATCTAAATGACCACATAAAAACTGTGAATCGAAGAAAAGTTTTTCCTTAAATCTTAATCACTTAATTTCTAGTTTTGAAAATTAAAACCCAAATAAATTTGTCAGTTTTGTCATTTTTGTCTCTTTTTTGTCTTTTTCTTCTTGTAACCTGTCTGTCTCCTGTTTTTGTTTAGATCTTAATTATTAATTTGTATTATTATAACTTGTTGAATTTTTACTTGCTTTCCGGCTTAAATTGTTTATATTGTACTTTTGATTATGAAGAAATAAATGTTTATTTGAATTGAATTGAATATATATATATTATAAACTTTTTAAACTATAGTTCAACAGAATTCAATTTACTGTACAGTTTATAAGTGCCACGCACTTATCTATTCTGAAAATGTTATTGGCCCCCCCACCCCAGTTGAAAAATTCGGGTTTCACCCATGCAGATCGCCCTCCATTTCCAGACACCTGAAAATTTGGGTGGTCTCCAATTAGAGGGTTAGCTTTGTGTTCAAGAATGTTACTTGGTTCTCTGAAAAAGTGGTCTCGAATTAGGGGAATCTCAAATTGGAGGGTGCACTGTACTTTAAAAAAATATATGCATAATACTTAAAAATTATTATCTCAACACTAACGTCCGTATTCTTAAAACGAACTTTTAATCGAAATTTGAACTAGAACTTCATTTCTATAGTCTTAGTTGCAACTTCAACTTTAATATCTATTTATAAACAACGTAGTCGAAGTTCTAATACGACTAAATGAATTCCTAATTTTAGTTCAACTGGAAGACGACTGGCAATCAACGTCTATCGGACTATCCAATGAAAAGAGCTCATTTAACAGCAGAGAGATCCGGTAATATTTCCTCATAATTCATATTAGACCATCATTCGCTTAATTAATTTTCTAAGATAATAACTATATTAGTCGTTAACATATAACAATAGCAAATTTTAACAGTCACTGAAAAATTGCTTTCTTAGAAGAAATATATTATAGTTGAGCCCGATCGAGGGCGACGCTATCTTTGTTGTTGTTACGATGAAGCTACAGTATGTGACCGCAACGCGAAGGGATTTCGTGCAAATCAGGAACTATCACATGTGGCTAGCAAAACATGATAATTTCGCATTTTGGAAGCTAAATTTTGTGCCTGTTTTGTTGATGAGGCCTACCGAATATACATCGGACCTACTTATACATTGGATTTTATTCGTTTCACTCTATTGTTACAAAAAACACGTTTTTATTGAGGCAAACATTTCAGAAACATCGGCCTGCAGAGGTATTTCAGTCGAGGTTCGCGTAATTTAGTCGTGCGCTAGTCGAAGTTCGTTTTAAGAATACCAGATGACGTAATTATGAAGTTTTAGCTCGAACTACGACTAAAGTTTATATCTATAAAATTATTTATCGAAATCTAAAATGGATATTTCCGGCGTGTGTCAAACAAACTGACCAATCAGAATAGAGTCATAAATACGCGCATCCTACACAAGCTGTCCCACAAACGCACATGCTTACATACATTTGTCTTCGTCTTGTGGGACCTTACAATATCCAACAATGGACGAGGCTTAGTAAAAAGGTCCAGCCTCATAATGGTGTTAACAAATTAAATTTTCTCAATAATATTCATTAACAGAATTAAGACAACATATCAGAGGCATAAACGCTTAAAATACTGAATAAAGTAACATTTTAATCCATCTTTAGAATTTCTCTATAATTAAAAATGACATTAAATGAAATCTTTGTGCAAGAACATTTTCTCCTCAATTTACAATATTTTATTTTTTGACAAATTTAATTACTGTATCTTAAAACACATATTTCCAATCATTCATAAAACTATTCATATTTGTATCAAACTTTATATCTCTATAAATATTCAGCATGAGGGCAGCCTTCTAATAAATACCACTGCTACTTATCACCAAGTGAGTGCAAGGTTCATGATTTGTAGCAGAGGGGTTGCCACTTGTTCTCAATTAGAATGAGATGCATAGCTCTAGGAGTATTATAGATGCAGTAGTCTAGAGGGGGAAGGGGGAAACGTTCTTATTGTATTTATTGTATGTTCGTTCTAGTAGAGATTTACTATAGAGCAAGTTCAACAAGTAGCATATTTGTGCGGAGCATGATGATGCGTCACAAATTTTAGCCTCCAAGAATTTATTCCCTCGGCTTAGTTCATAGTAAATTTCTACCTACCCCTACTCAAGGACGTATGCACTAGAGGCTTCGTCCTCTCTCCCAACATTTAGGGAATTCAGACCGGAGAGCACCCAATTTACTATGATAATAAATTCCTGAGGGGAGGCTGTGTTTGCTGGGTCATGTTCAGCCCAATCAATCAAAGAATAATTATTTCAGCACATTTCTTTTACTCTAAAAAAAATTAACAATTCACAGCAAAAACCGCTACATAAGAATTTTGAATTTATTTTTACTTAATGAGGCCATTTCACAATTGGTTGTTACACTCGTGTGCAAGATAAAGAGAGGTCATTACAAACATAGAAAGACAATTTGTTTTCAAAATGCGAGCCAAATCAAAAATAGGTATAACACATTAACACATTGTATAGTATAGTTCTGTCTACACTACTACAAGTGAATTTTTACAAATATAGACATGATGATGTCATATCACACCCATATTTAGATCCCATATTGAATGGAGACAGAGAATAGAAAGCTGCTTTAATAAAGATTAAACAATTTTCATTAGAAATATATTAATTTACAACTTAAAAATAAATTCTCAGAGGTCACTTTCTATGCCATTTACCATCTTTCCAGACAAGGCGAGTATTAGCCTTGTGATAGTTCAGTGGACATATCCAAAGCAGAATAGCAGGAGCATATGCAATGTTTACAACAAAGTTTGTGCTGCCCATACCCATCCAACCCAAAATGCCTAAAAGACTGGCTGGAATATTGAAAACATTGCAATAGATAGTCAATTTTCCCAACACCATTGCAACGATTATTGCAGTGTCACGTTTTAATTGATTGCATGACTAGTACAATAACCAACACTTTCAGAGTACAAATAAAAAAACTAAAAACAAATGACATGATATACTGTACTATAGATATTGAATATTCTGCAGTGCTACGACTCGGTTTACAGTAAGTTTTGGAATCACCTCTACCTTGATTAAAGGTAGTGATGAAAAATGCACTTTTAGTGACACTGATCTGACCTTTCCAAATTCTCAGTAAAGTTTCTGTATTAAATTCGAGCACAGCAGCATTAAAGGCCAAGTAAGACAGCATCGTACGAAGTAGCCCAATGCAATTATCGTCGGGATAGAGTCTTTGGGCAATGCGTCAAGAAGTCATGTCGGGCTGGGCCATACCATACTGTCTAAGATGGCCATTACTTAACTGTATAGCTATATATTACAGAGAATACACATTAAATGACAAGAAATTTACATTCTTGCTTATTACACCTGCACAGTCATGTAACTGTTTCGTAGTTGCCACCAACCATTCGTCCAATATGAAGTTTTCCATATTTACATAAAAAGTGACTGTTCATACATGACTTGCCACTATACTTTGCATGTACCGGACACAAAATTTATAATGTGTCATGTTTAAATATGCGTAGAAGGATGAATTGTTAATGAGCCAATGAAGAAAGTTGTAAACCAAACATGAACTACTGTATCAGATTTTGAAAGACAATACTCGATCACATAATGTGTATTGCTTGTTTCAGACATACATCAGACATAGTGTTTTCTGTATCTGAGTAAAGTCAATGTCACACTTCATCGGAGACAAGCTTGAACAAACTTTTTTGAGTTTGACAGACAAAAATTCTTGTTATCTCTGGCTTTTAAAAGCTTGCAAGTCATTAGCAAATTCCCTGAATCTTTCAGTGCATTAGTAAGGTAAGAGCGACTTCATTGATAGGAAAAAATATATATTTTTAACTTTTCTATACATGGAAACATCCAATAAGAAGCACAGCTAAAGCCTGTACCTATTACACCAGTTCCAGTAAAGTCCTAGAATGTGGTTCACAAAATATCATTATAAGGAAACAGTTAAAGATATACAATGTAGTCAATCAAAAAATCAGGAAAACCACAAAAAATCAATGAAAACATTGAATAGCTCATTCATAATTATCAAATTACCTTTCAATGAAAAATAGATCAAACTAAATAATCGGTCACTGATTTCAGACCTTTGTTTCACTATAAAGATCTTTAAATTTATTACCAGCCAAAGGTCTATGCAAAAGTATGAACTGTATACAGTATATATTTGTCTGTTATCTCATGAGAAAAATAATTTTCGATAGAAAGCTGATTACTGTAATTAAGCCTACTTAAACTAAAACCATTCACATTTATAATTTTTAAAGCATATCACAGACAATACATTTTTTAACAAAATAGATATGAAAACAGATTACCGATGTAAAAATGGTTTTTGAAGAAAAACCATAACTAATGAACAATTTAAAAACCTTATCAAAGAAATAGGTGAATAAAAAGATGAACAAATACTAAATAATCTCAATACTTTCCAATAGTTGAATTTTATGTGTTCTATTGCAAAACATTTTGAAAATACTGTACATCAATTTAAAGTAACACTATCACAGCAAACAGTGTGTTCAATATGTGTACTGTAGCTCAAAAATACTATTGTTTACACACAAAATGTTTTACATTATAATAAAACAAATCTGTTGCGTCCTATAAATGCAATCCTCCAATACCATTTACCGATTGATAATTGTGCTGTAGGGTTTTGCAATCAGGTGGTCTGGGATTATATTAAATAATCAATAACACTAAAAACTACTGGGGCAGATTGCTATAAAATTGTCTTAAACAGGTAGTCTTAACTAATCGATTATAGCCAACTTTATCACAAAGTCCGTTACGATAATAGTCAACTCTGTAAGACCATCACTATAAAAGTCATAACTAATGGCCACCCTGACACTTGCACAATTTTCATTCCCGCACTGGCGCGCACTTCAGCGTGCCAATGATTAAAGTCTCCAGCAACCGATTAAATAAGTCTTTGAAACATCTAAATTGTCAAAATTTGTTGGGCCTTTGCATCTGACCCCTCGTCGGGGACCTCGGCCCCCACCTCCCGTCGGGCAAAGCCTGGCACCACCCCTCTTTATAGACAGCATATAGCAATCCCCCACTGACTTATAACCCTATTTTTTATGTCTTTTTTCAAAAATCAGTACTCAAAATCATAAGAGCACAAACCTTGGTCTAATCAAATTCAGTTTCACAATTTATAATTGGCTGTCTAAGAGGCTACTGTAATAATTCCTATCCAGCCAGCATTCATATATCTATGCCTGGTTAAAATGTAAACATTCAGAGCTGCGACAGTTCGATTTAAAACAGTACACACAATTACTTATGACAGTCATAATGTGGTTGCTGACAACATTTTTTTAAAAATTAAAGCTATGCGTACTCTATTAGATGTGTATGTCAGACTTAACCACATTATCTGATCAGATTCAACACATCCCTTTTAAGATCTGTGATTGACGTAATATGTACTGTAGTGGCGAAACAGTTGCTCTCTCAGTTCAAGCAATGCATAACTGTTGAAGGTGTACATCATTCAAGTCTGTACATGACAAGGTGAATTCCTAGCACGATTGCAGCAAAAAATATAATTCTCCAGTAGATTTAAATTTAAACTGGTAGCTTTTGTGTTCATTGTTATCTATAAGTTAAGCCCCCTCGCAAATCATAAAGGAAAGATATACTGCCCAGTAAAGGAGCCTAAACATAAAGAATTCTTACATTTACATACTGTATGAATATGGGCCCCCCTCACCCTTTATAATTAAATGAACTTGATGACCTGTCAGTTTAAATGTTACATCTAATCCAGCTTGGAAATTTGTCGCTTGGATAGCTTGCCTTGAACTGTAGGTTGAGATACTAACAACATACTGTATACATGTACAGGGTATGCATTATTCTTAATACTACAGTATTATTGTTAATACCTATCACTTCTTGACCTTTGAGATTTGTCACCACGATAGGAATCCTTGCTTCGTTTGTGAACATCCTTCTTATTGATCAGTTGACGCAGATCCTTTGACTTTCCTAGCGTTGCTACGTTTCTCCTTTCATCATTTCTACCCAACCGATGACCTGTTGGTTTGAAATAATCAGGAGAAATTTCGGATTCAGAATCTGATTTGATCTCTCCTTCCGACAACTCCCCTTCTTCAAGTTGAGAATCTTCCTTTGAAGGTGTTTCGTCTACTTGAGTCATTTTTTCATCAATTACTACATCTGCTGTTTTCTTTTCTTCTTCTGTTGAAATGGGACTCCAAGGAGTGTCTACATTTGCAATATCTTTCTGTTTATCATTATTTTTCTTAATTTTTTTCACCTTAACTTTACTTGTGGAGCTCTCTTTTTCTTTCCTTTTTCGCTTTTTAATTCTGTCATCTTTACTTTTGGAAGGAGTTTCTGAAATGTTTTGTCTAGATATTTTTATAGGTTCTGCTTTTGCTGCACCATCCGATTCAGACTTTTCCTTTTCAACTGGTGCTTTTCTCTCTTTATCAACAGCATCTTCTTTGAAAGTCTTTTCAGCCTCACTACCATTTTTCTTTTTTTTTTTACTTTGTTTTAAAATTTCATGATCTTTTTCAGTTACTTTCAATTTATCTAAACCCTGAGAATTATCATTTGCACATTTGTGTGCATTTTTGGAATGCTTAGGATATTCTTTAATTGTTTTTGATCCATTCTGTTCTTTTTTCTCTTGAATTGTATTTTGATATTTTTCAAGCCTTTCACCAGTTGAGCCTTTAACGGAATGTTTACGATCATCTGACTTAGGTCTCTTTTTAGGAGATTCTTTCTGTATGCTACTCACAAGCTCATCTTTACTACCTTTAAAATTAGATTTATCTGTTTGAGAATATTCACCTTCTTCATCAGAACCACTATCGATGTCACTGAGACTGATGTCATCCACTTCTGCATTCATTGGATTCCTGCTTACAGGAATCTGCAGATCTGTGATAGTGTTTTTAGTTGTTTTTTTAGTAGTTGTGACATTTTTAGAGAATTCTGAGGTATTAATCTTTTTTGACTTTCCAGAATGACTACTTATTTTAGAGTCATTTTCACTGCTACTGTCATCATGTTCAAGATGTCGAAGAGTTGGAAGCTGGTGAGGTTTTACCTTTTTAACTGGAGATTGCTTTGACTTTTTGTCAGTCTTCTCCACAGCATCTCTGCTTCTATGCCTCTGGTGTTTGTTTTCTTTTAGACTATGTTCATGCATGTCTACATGACTACTCTTTGTAGAACTCTGGGATCTCTTGGAATCTTGAAGCTGTTTTTCTTTCTTTGCGATTTGACTTTTATCATTACTTGATTGGTGATCATTTCTGGCATGCTCTCGGATTTCTTTCTCATTTGTTCTAATTATTTCATTGGATTTCTTTCTCTCTTTTTCATTCTGTCTAATGATTTCCTCTTGGTTTCTTCTTCCCTTCTCATTCCTTTTAACAATTTCCTCTGTGTTCCGCCTTCCTCTATCATTCCCTCTACTGATCTCATCTACATTCCGTCTTCCTTTCTCATTTCCTCTGGTTGTTTCTTCTGACTTTCTCTTCTCTTTTTCATTTAATCTAGCTTTTTCATCTACTATTTTTCTTTCTTTCATTCTAACCTTCTCAACATCTGGTTTTGAGTCTTGTGACCTATTTTTCCTCTCTCGGTCAACGTCTGTAGATGAAGAAGATCTTTTTCCTTCATCTTTGTGTGCTGATAATGTTCTATTTGGTGGCAGTCTGTCTTCACCCATCTGTCTCAGCTGTTCTCGATTTTTTATTCTCCTTTGGACTTCAAGCTCTCTATCTCTTTCCTTCTGTGACAACCTATCTAATGACTTTCCTTCAATTTCTTTTCTATGCCTTTGATCAGATTTTTCAGATGATCTTTCAGATATTTTGGTCAAATCTTTGTTGCCTTTTTTCTCTTGCTCTTTTACTCGGTTTCTGTGCCTATCAACTGATGATGATCTTGACGATTCATTCAAAGATACTTTACTTTGAGATTTTGATGACTCTTTATCGGACTTCCTGCTATAGTCATCCCGTCGTTGTCTTTGACTATCAACTGATGATGATCTACCAATGTTCTTTGAAGGTTTTTCTGCTGACCGTATCGTGTCATACTTTTTTACTGTCACCTGTTTATCAATTACAGAAGATTTCTCTTTTTTTGTTGTTTTCTCAAAAATTTTTTCTGACTTGTTTAATCTTGATGATGATGAAGGTTCATCTCTTCTGTGTTCCTTCTCCTTATACTTATCCTCTGTTCGCTTTTCTTTCACCTTTGTTTCTTCACTTGTTTTAAGTTCTTTTTTAAGGTCTTCCTTTCTGCTGGCTTCTCTGAGGCTATTCACTGTTCCATTTGTGTGTCTACCAGAATACTGCTCACTTGGTCTATCTTTACTCTTTCTACTAGGGGACACTGATAATGTTCCCCTGTTTCTTTGCCGCCCATCATTTGTTGGCGAACGGCTTTGCCTTCCATGAGGTAAACTTTCTCTTTTCTTCGTCAGTTTTTCTCTTGTATCTTTATATACTCTATCAGACTTATCCCGACTATCTGATCTCTTTTCTCTTTTATCAGGTCTCTCATATTTTTCCTCATGTTCATCCTTGCTATCTCTTTGCCTCTTTCTCTCTTTGCTACCATCTTTTTGAAAGCAGTATTCTTTGGCCAATGAATCTTCTAGTTGTTGAATCGTCTCACTTGAATTAGCTTTCTTACTACTCAGTTCTTTTGCTTGCAAAGTACTTGCCAATATTTGATCAAATTCTTTACCTTCCTTTCCTTGGCTGCGTGCTGCCACTATTTTGCGGTACATCAAAGCTTGGAAACGCATCGGCTGCAAGTAGTCGAGCCTATAAAAAATAAAGTGCAAAATGAAATTAATAACCATTACAGTATACAGTTAATTATAGGCTATGTTCAGACATGAGTTACGCTTGTGTATAACATAACATTAACCAAAATGATGTGAGCTTGTGTGTGGCGTAGCAAACACCAGAAACACAAAACCACTGGCGTACAATAATCTACCAACAGACCCAAGATTAGCGTGCACCACTGAGTTATGAGAGTCATGCATCAACAATTTTTAGACCCAGGACAGGATTTGATAATCACAAAAAACCTAGTAAAGTAAAAGGCACTATTAAGAAATACGCTAGCATCAAGATAATTACGCAGTGTGAACATATAGCTAGTGACTAAATGGATTAACATACAAGCCCAGTGTTAGTTATGAATGTGGTGTTTCTAAAGTCTAAACACAGCCAAAAAACATAACCAACTCACTTCCTTACAAGTGCTGCAATCTCCTTGTCTTTTCGTTTAATTTCTGCTTGTGCTGTCTTGTACAATGATGAGATATTTTTACGCAGCATCAGATTCTCTTCCTTGATTGACTTTTCCTACAAGGAACAAAAAGAATAGTTACGTAATCCACATCTAGGACTCAAATACTGTTAAATGGCCGAACCGCAATGGCTGCACTGGCTTTGGCCGGACCACTTTTTCTCAATTACTGTATGATTAGTTTTTTATACTGTATGATTAGTTTTTTAATAAAATTTTGAGGGTTGGAGTCGGCCCTTTCCCCTTTATTCCAGCTTGGGCTGCTTGAAATTTTTTATAAATTTGTAGGCCTATTTCCAACACAATCCATAGCATATTGCATGCTGTGTATTCATTACACATATTTTATTTAATGGCATATAGTTTATATTTCCACAATACTCTGTAAGTTATGGCACTAAAAGAAATTTAATTTTCAACAACATCATTTTAATGTAAGATACCTACATTGATTTAAAATAGGCCTACAAATTTGTATGGTCATAATCTTTAAAGAAAATCTTCCAATGGGAGGGTCCCTCATGAACATTAAACGCACTCCCTCGCCCCGGCGACCAAGTCAGCTATAGGGATTTCTTGGGTTTGCTGTGAACATTTAACAAAAGCATGCTCTGATCAAATTTTTTAGGCCTACAGTATGTACGTATGTACAGGCACTCCAATAATTTAATAATAATCTTACCATATTCAGGCCACGAAACATAAATTTTGTTTATGTACGATACTGTACATACTGTACAGTCTATATTGTACTGCATATTTTTATGACAATAAATTAGTATTTGTATTTATTTGTATAATAATACAATTAGTAATCAATACTTTCCTTTCATATACATTTTTCTGGCCCTAAAGGAATACTACTGTAGGCTCAGAAATAGGGATGGTGTTCAGCGGGGATGGTTTTACTGTGGATCACTTCAGTTGTCACAAAAAAACTTATGTGTGAACAGAGCTTAAGTTTATTACTGAAGTCCAACACAGACATTATAAAGTTTATATTAGTTTAAATCAAACTTCATAGAATACTCACTTGCTTCATAAGTTTATGAAGAGTTGACTTCAATTCCTCAACTTTAAGATGATTGACGTCTTTATCTTTCAAAAGCTGTAAAAGATATATCACTTTAGAACAGTGTACAGTGTACAGTTAGAGGCCTTGCTAAGCTACAGTAGCCCCAAAGTGGTGAAATTCATTTGAAGTGTTGTCTTTTCCATCATCTAATTGATGTTTGAAGATCTACAACTTTTAAAATACTGGCTCGATCAATCCAAAAAAATGTATGCTTCAATCATACATTTAGTACAAATACAACAGAAAATACATTTTAACAAAATTATTAAACTTTTGGTACACCACTATTTGATTGAAGTAAGACACTACCTGACTTCCTTACTTCATTCAGGCACTCATCACACTTTCTTTGTTTTATGGGAGACAATGTACAGTATCCCCGACGATCACCATTTTCTATACTTTTCGCACGTTTAAGGGAAACGATGGATCACTGACGATCACTACTGTATTTCTGTTTTTATACCTTGTTTAGCAAATTTCAGAAAAAAATAAAAGTTTTTTAAAAATTTTTATTACGCCCTCTGCTGCCTTGAAATCTCCAAGATAAGTATATTTCTTCCTAATTATATAAATTTGAAGCATTTAACCATCCTATTTTACATTTACAAATAAAATTTTATTTTTATTTTCTCCTCCATTTGCTAAATAAGAAAACAAACTTTAATTTATATTTTTATTCCACCCTCCTCCAATGATCTGTAAAAAAATAAGTATGTGAAACAAGGAATAAAACGTCTCGTCTTAAGATTAACAGAAGTCATATTTTATCATTCTCCTGATGATGGTCAGAGCAATCTCACCAAAACATTGAGACAACCAACCAGTGGTTTTACCTCAGAAACCATATTTTTACACATGGTGTACCAAAAGTGTTATGATTTGTTGTTACTTATACTTGCCATTTAAACCTTCAAGAAATATTTTAAGTACATATTGATTTCATGGATTAGACAGTGTGCGACATGCAGCACGCAAAAGCAGCAGAAAAAAATTCTTCCTAAAATGTCACATGACAAAAAATATTCTGAACAATCAGTGACCTTTTGGGATGATTTTGTAAATGGTACAATTGAGTTCAAGAATCACTTTTTACTTGACAATCTTTATATAGTATTTCCAAATGAAAGATTAGGAAGAGGAATTGTAGGCCGCCACTATTAAAACAATATTATTTGGTTGCCATATGGAGAGCAAGAACAAATAATATGTTACTTGTATACCGCCCCTTAACTAAATGTTTATTTAAAGCATGTGTCACTCAAATTTAAAGGTAAAATTTACTGTATTGTATTATCTTAAAAATTGCTGATAGGCCTACTGATCTAGCATTTCAATTCCTTTTCATTAAACTATAAATCTGAAACAAGCAAGTCTCTGGTAAGAGACATGGTGCTGACATTTAATTCTTATTTTTCATTCACATATCATTTTAATTGTACTTTTGTTTGTTACTTTTTTTTCATAAGCAGCCCTATGATATTAAGTAGGCTTATTTGATTGACATACTTTATTGTTTAAGTTTCTTTGTATTGTATTTTGTTTTGTATTGTTAAACATTTTATTTCAAAATTGTGGTTTTGTATGCCTAGTTTAGGGCAAATAGAAAAATTTATTAGACTATCACTCCCACCCACATCAAAAATTTTGGATATTGATGCGGGAATAATTTTATTTTTCATTTATTCATTTATTTATTTATTTAATTTTTTTTTTTTTCGTATCATTTATTTTAACTGTATACAGTAAAAGCAACTTTACAAAATACATGCTCACAAAATATAATAAAAGAATTGGCTCTGAATTTGGCAGACTTCTGACTCTTCCAATTGATCAGACATTGAAAGTAAAGTTGAAAATGCAAAGCCTACAGTATTCTTTAAACTTGTTTTACTGTCACTAAAAATAAACAGCTCACTAACTGCGGTTAAAAATAGACAACACCGCAGTCCGTCAATACAGAGACCTGCATAGTGGGCTGATCGTGTCGTTAATTCACAGCGTGTAGACTCACATGTACTGTATCACAGCGTGGCTAAAAATAGGCAACACCGCTGTTCGTACTTAAGGAGACCCACCAAATGGGCTGATAGGATCGTTGATTCACAGCATGAAGACTCACATGTTCTGCAAAGACTCCCCTGCTAAAAATAACTTGTTACATATTGGGCAGTCTTCCTTGTGATGGGTGTGTGGTTGGATTAATCTTGAAGTTGTTGTTAGACAAAAACTAACCTACGACATCAAGAAAGAAAGGTGAAGACCAAAGCCTAGGCGCCTATACCTACTAATAAAATTAGGGTGTTCCCTTCCCTTTTTGATGCTCGAGTAATATCCGATTTCTTCACCGGAATATAGGCCTAGTTTTGGATAGGCCAAATTGAATCACAGGGCAGTTGTTTATATGCATCTGCCACTTCGAAAAACGATGTCATGTTTGTTATGTTCATGCACACAGGAATCCCCGGGTATAATCCCAACCCTCCACCGTCAAAGAAAAAAAAAAAAAAAAAAAAAAAAAAACCTCCCGCAAGCAAAAAAAGTGATAATCTAATAATTTTTTTCTATGTGCCCTTAAATCTGTGTATTTTTAGGAAACTGTCAATTTGGATGCACCACCTTTGTCGGTGCCACCGATCTTAAGGGGCTTCTTCCTAATAAACTGATTGATTGATTGAATCCGGTATTCTTTCACTGATCATGCACAGTAAAGCGAACTTCAAATTTTATAAAGTTGATGTAGAAATTGATGTCATGGTTAATATCTAATGATTTTTTAACATTTTTGTATTATACCTGATTTATCCAATCCAAGAATTGCAAATTTGATGATAAAACATGCCCTTTTTTAAACCACATTGAGACAGTATTGTGGACCACTATAGAATATTAGAATAACATTACCATTACCAATTAAATTTGTGATTCAGATTTTGAAGCTTTGCATTAAGCATGGACTATTCCAATTGTAAGAATTTTGCTTATCATGTACAACCCTGTAAAATGTGATTGTTTTTACCTGGTCATAACTTGGTCTAGACGAAACTTCTTCAATTAAAAATTCACTATAGAGATCCAAATTTGAGTCTCCACCCTTGATTTTGTGAGTATGAGCCTTAAAGTCAGCACCATCCATTGACATATCTGCATAGATATCAAGGTTATTGTCAATGCTTTTCCTTGTATCTCCATCATTTTCTTTCTTGGATTTCTCACCAGGAGAAATATTTGGCAAGTCTTTTAAATCATTAACAGTTCTGTCTTCAGGACTGATTTCATTGGATGATTTGCTAATTTTGTCATGGTTGACTGATACAGGAGACCTTATATTTTTTTTATTTTCTTCTTTTCTTTCTGCCTCTCTATTTTCATGTTCAGCCAAGTGAACTTCATTTTTATCCTCATCAATGTCACCCTTCTCTTCATCATCTCCCTCCTCTTCTTCACTGCTACTTGAACTATCATCACTACTGCTTTCTGTGCTTCTCTCACTCTCGTCATCATTCGTCATGGCGCGTTCTTCATCTTTAGTTTCTGGATCTTCTATTGCAGTGGCGTCAGTGCAATCTTCTTCATCACTAGCAATTTCATAGTCAGGGTTAAAGTTCATTTCAGGATCACTCTCTGTCACAAACTCCATTTCAAAAGATGCTAAATTCTAAAAAAAAGGCAAGAAAATTGTTTAACATTATCAATAATTCAATACTAAAAATATAAATTAGTAGTTTTAAAGGCCCAAATCTATGCTGTGAAATTAATCAGCTAAACAGTATTGAAAATAAGCCACTACTCAAAATACCCAGCGAGCCCAAAATGGCTTATAATTTTATTGCAAAAAAAAAATATACAAATTATTTCTCAAAAGTCACAGTGGATTTTCTTTTTAAATAAAACTTATAGGCATACTTCTGCAAAACAAATAAAATTGCTTTTTTGGTGACAGTGGCCCTGCGGCTTTTGCTATTCCTTGGCACTGTTTTCTTATTATTTTGCCTTATTTTCCTTGAAATTTGTTCTGTAATGTATTTTGTTTTACTCTTTTGAAATGTATTTTTTATTTTTCAGCAAAAAGAATAATATAAACTAAAAACAGAACACTGAATTGAATATGAAAAATACAGTTGGACCTAATCAATACTGGCTACAGCCTAGCCTAGGTCCTAGGACCCTAGCCTGTACACAGTACAGTATTTATTATTATAATTTTTTTTAAATTTAATAATTTATCTAAACAATTACTGTACCAATCGGATTAAGTTTGGCTTCAGTCCAAATTAGGACAAAATCTAGGCCCAGCCTATATGCCTAGATATCAGAACCATTCACATTTGGGTAACCTCTGCTCCGTCAGAGGCTTAGCCTAGCCCTAGGCAGTACGTTAACCCATTATCACTGGCCGAGCTCGCATAGGCCTAGGCCCAGTCCTTCCTAGAGGCTAAGCCAGGCCTAGCTAGGCTAGGCCTAGCCAGAGAGGGGAATGATAATGTTAACCCTAAAAATAAATGACACTCCATTTCTTAACAAAAAAAACACTCACCTGCTAAAAATACTTCAAACCATATTTCAAATTTCTCTAAGGATTTAAATATACTGTATAAGTGTTCTGAATAAGAAAAGTAAAAAAGTTTAATCAAGAAGCGAAAACTGAAAGCGAATGTTCCTTCGGTTGACCTCTAGATGTAGGCTCTAATTATAGAGGGCGCTAATAATTAATACAGTATAGAGTTCCTATTACCAGAGCCGCCGCATATTGAAAGTTCACACTTGTTCATGATTAATCGTAACAAAATATTTACTTATTACAATATATACAAACATAACATGCATAATTTTATTTATAAAATATTAAATTGCACTACAGTAATAGTTATTATACAATAAATCAATGAATTTTATTTTTATATATAAAAATTTATTTACCTACATTTCCGGCGGAAAAAGGAAAAAAAAATTCCTAAAAATTGTTGAAATGAACTGTATAAATGACGCAGATTTTAACGAAACAGCTCTGTACTGTCTCAGCCAGAATACATCTTCTAATAGCAAGACTAACTATTATTATTATTATCATCATCATCATCATAATCATCATCATCATCATCATCATCATCATCATCACCATCATTATCATTATCATTATCATTATCATTATCATTATTATTATTATTATTATTATTATTATTATTATTATTATTATTATTATTATTATTATTAAGACACCGGTATCTCTGCCAATAAATATCTGAATTACCTATACACGACTTGCGTGTGCGTGAATATTTTAGAAGTATGAGAAAAAAAATCGTATAGGCACGAAGTGGTAAAATAAAGTAAATACATCACAGACAATTAAGTCGTATTTTCTATGGTGCATCACAGAGATTAATTAGATATCTATGGTTGCCAAAAAAAATCCCCAATAAAAAATCATGAGAAATTTGTTGGCACTTAATTTTGACTATAGTTGTGTTGTGATGACGATGCATTTTACTATATGAGTATCATTTACGGCCAGCTAGGTTACCCAAAATTTCGCGTCTCAGCCCTAACTATTGTGGGGCTGAGATCAAAGACAATGTTTTATTTTCAATTCTTACATCACAAAGATTATTTAGATCTCTGATTGCCGAAAATGGCTGATAAAAGATCATTAGAAATTGCTCCCCACTCCCACCGCCCACTCCCGTTTCCGATAGCAGCCCTGAACAACAATTTCTAAATCAAACTGAAATAATTCAGATAAGAGATAAAAATGGTTAGAACTGAGTTTCCTACCTTAATAGGTAATAAAACTTCCTAATTTCCCTCTCATACCTAAGACTTAAGACTCCGCACCTAACGGAGTCCCGGCGAATGTCATGCCCAGTGGCGTATCTAGAAGTCTTGAAATGGGGGTGTTGATAGGGGCGCGAAGGTCAAGTAGGGGACTCGATGATCAGTTGAGGGGCGAAACTCGCAAAATAAGGTGATTTTAGGTGATTTTTAACTACTTGCAAGTGATTTTTTTTTTTGGAGGTGGGGTGACTGGTTGGGCATGAATAATAATAATAATAGTTCTTAATAATACCAAATAACCTAAAAATTCATTGCATTATTCATAACCTAATATTTTTAAAATGTTAAAGTAAACAACTTAACATTATTTATAACCTAATATTTTTAACATGTTAAAATAAATTTAACTCAGAGAGACATTTCCGGCCATCTTGAGGTGCCATAGACCATGGTGGGGGCTGAGGTAGTCTGTATGAAAATAATATTTTGAAATAATTTCCAAAAGAGCAAAACCGACAGCGGGCCCCTCAGTAATATTTGGTCTTTAGAGAAGTAATTATTGATTGCTGTGTTGATTTCAATTCCCTTATTTTTCAAAATAAAATAGGGAAAAAGAAATTATTCACTGTATTATAAGTCTGAGAGTGCCATTTTCGGCCATCTAGAAGCGTTATAATCATAAATTTTCTTACCTCAACTCAAAATATGGTGGGGTAGAGGTGGTCTTCATCCTCCACCTGTGGAAATCCCTACCTGGCCCCTCTATTTCAAATTTTCTGATCTTCACTCACAATTGTTTAATTTTACGTGCCATCAATTTTCTCTTTTAGCTTAGAATAGCTGCTGAGACCGAATAGGCCCCTCTTAAAATAGTTACGAATCCGATTTTCATAAGTATTTATTACTAACCTAGGCCTTATGAGTAGGGGGTAAAAGAAGCAATTCTCACAATGAATTTTCTGAGAACTTCTGGGAATTCCCCTTTCCCATCAAAGGGCCCTGCAATAATTCTTGCACTAGGCCCTTTCACACATACGCCGCTTTCTGTGTGCCCTCCATCTGAGATATTTCCTCTTGAATCAGATCTGCTGCGCCACACAGCTGTGGACTATTGCTGTCCATTACGACTTCAATCACCTTGACCAATCTTCTTAATAATCCTTTTCCACCCTTACCGTCTATAAAAACAGTATTTTAAGTATTTTTTCCAGAACTGTTTACTAAGGATTAAAACATCAAACTTGGCACACGAGTAAATATGACAATGGAGCATATCAATTTAATACAGTACTCACGTCAACGACGCCCTTTACGGGTCAAAAAATCACCTGTACTATTTCTTATGTAAAAATTATCTCTCACACTTGCAGATTTCTCATATAACCATTTGCATATATATAAAATATAGGCCTAATTATGCAATTCATTCCTTATTACGGTCCAGCGAGTAGGCCTTCATTTTCAATTTATAAAAACTTTTAAAAATGCAATACAGTATTTCTTCATTCTATATCCTCCAATAGTGCAGTTAACATAAAACCCCTTGTATTTCCAATTAGGCATACAGTTAAGTTGTTTGTATTTATTAAAATTTTGCATGTTTGTAGAGCCACACACCCCCAGCGACAACAGCCGTCAGGATCGTTGTGTTAGTAACAAAACGAACTAAACCATCAACCGACGGAGCATTCATTTCAAGAAAAGACTGCGTGAACGGAACTGCAGGGAAGTCCTACAAAAACAAACAGAAAATAAACCACTTATTAATTATTTTGATAAATGTCACAGCGCGTATTGAGGGTTTTTGGAAGAAAACATGCTGTGTTCTTATTTAGCAGTCAGGGGTGGATCTGGATTCAAATTTAGGGGGAGGTTCAAAATGTTTCCAGAAAAAAAAACACACAAAAATAGTTGGTCCTCCCCTGGAAAGTTTTGATTCCTAGATGGCGAGAAATGAGGTTTCCCGACTTCTAATTTTCCCATTGCAACAAAAAAAGTAGGTCTGGAATTTTTTTTTTTGCCAGGGGGGGGGGGGGGGGGCAGGACCCCTGATCCGCCAATGAACAGCGATTCAGAGAAGCAAGTAAAAATGCATATATAAAACTTGGGCCTGATAATAGAAAAAAATTGAGACAAACTAAAGCTTTATAAGTTTACAAAACAGGCGTGTAATTCATTTGTACTATATAGCCTAACAATATCATTTATGGGCCAATCACCTCGGACGGTGGCTCTTCTTGCCAAATTTCATCTTCAGACAACTTTCCCATAGCATGAAGTACCTATCAAGAAAAAGTAAAACAGAATTTCAAAACATGGAAAATATTCACATACTGTATGACTTAACGTTTGTCATGCCATTGCCAAGACTATTTATTATTTAGGTTCCCCACTTCGCACCTAGTAACTGCGCCATTTTGAGGTATCAGAACAGATCCAGGATCTACGCGCTTGTTTCATACACACGTGCTGTCTCATGCGTACGTTTGCTTTGCCGTTTTGTTGGACATTGGCAGCAACAACATCCAAGGAGCTCAACTTAGCGGGAAGTTCATTCAAGGTAAAAACAAGCAGAGCGAACTTATTTACCTCTCTAGCAGCACGTTCACCGGACTCAACAGCACCATCCATGTAGCCCGACCATTTAATAGCTGTTTCTGTTCCTGCAAAGTGTATACAGCCAACGATTCTTCTCAACTCTCTATCAACAAAATATATAAATTCAAAATTTGTCTTTCGATAAGCTATATTTTTATCTATAAAGTAGATAAATTTATCATAAAAAATGATTTTAAAAAAATACAGTGGTAGTATTTCTTTCTAGTATTATACTTAGATCGCATTGATACTTAGATACTTACATCGCATTGAAGTTAAGCAAAGAGAAGAGGGGTTCTTATATAGGAAATGACAATGATGATGATCTGTTGCTATTATTCTTTCGCGATATGATAAGTAATACTTTCTAAAACAAAACATATACCTTAAAAACATGAAAATACATAACGTGACGGTATTATTGTCATCAGGGCATGTTCGCAAGCTTTACAAAACGATAAAACGATAACGAATACAGTTAAGTCATCAACTTTTTAGGCAACCCTTTCAAAACAGTAGCATGTCTGTCAACGTAGGCGATTCATGCCTCTTTCATGAATCAAGGATCATATTCAACACATACAGCATATTGTTAAGCCTTGTTGAACGACGATAATGATAATGACGTATTCGTTATCGTTTTCTATTAATTAGTGAGGTAAGCTTACCTTCCGTACTGACAAAGAGTGCCCGGCTGGAAGACTGTAGTATAGCCACCGGCGGAATATGCCTCTGCCATCCAATCTTTCTCTACGTAGTTGATTGGCTAAATAACAAGTTTTGTATTAGTTACGAATACAGATTCAGATTTAAATTGTTGATGATTATGACATCATATCAGAGAAGTTATCATATCAACAACCTTTAAAATTCTTGAACACAGTAATGGAAATTGTTTAAAAGGAATAACAACGAGCAACTTACATGCATTGCTTCGTCTGTCCCGAACACCTTGGCGTAATACCGACACAGTTTATCACGCCTGAGGAAAACATTCCGTTATAGTAATATTACTTTTTGATCAGATTCTGCTATTATTTCTGTATCATGTCTAAATTATTTCCAATGCAAAAATGGTATTTTTGATCAGATTCTGCAATTATTTCTGTATCATGTCTAAATTATTTTCAATGCAAAAAGGGTTATGAAATATCACAACAAAATTGAAGCCATTCTAATGAATTTTGAGGTTTTCTTTCAAGTTCAAATTTCTTTTACATTACTTACCTTTCATTTTCAGTGAGATGACAGAGCTTTCTTGCCTTGTCTGCAGCAATAAATCTGGTAAAAAAATAATCAGCAAAGTAAGACCAGTATAAACACATTTTCGTAAGACAGAGGCTACTGTTATATACCTGCACGTGTGTGAAATCTACAAGGGATACATTGACATATATTAGCTAGCATCCATATGCGCATATTATAATGCCACCTATTTGAAACCTGAATTGCAGTCATCTGGCAAGATAAGTAAGATATAACATTTGTAGCCGAATTAGTGTATTAAGGAAGAAGGGTGGGGTGGGGGGTGAAACGCGTGGGTTTAAAAACTATTTGACTCACGTAACTAATGCTGGAGCAGAGCCATCAGGTTTAGTGTCATCCACTGACCATTCGACTGGAAGATCTTGATCGATACACCATGAAGTACCACAGAATCCTGAAGCAAAAAAGTACTATGGTATTGACGCTGCAGATAGAAAAGAAGTAAAACAACTACAAAATTCACCTAAAAATAGATACTTGTATCCAAGTTAACATATGCATGTGAAACATGGAACCTTACATTGGCCCAGTTCAACAAAATAGATGCAGCACACAGAAAAATGCTTCGTAGAATTATCTTTGATGGGAAAAGGGGCTTGATGAAAAGAAGAAAATTACACGTGAAAATTGGAACATCTAGATTGTTAGAAATCAGTAAATCTGACAACTTATCAGTTTACATTAAGAGGTACGTAACAGGTCAAATTTGCTGTTCACATTGTGAGACAGTTCAACTCCAGCGGAAGCTATTTAAATAAAGTTATTATTATTATTATAGTACCTCTATCTCTCCAAAACTGTGTTTTGTAGTATACCATAGACTTGATAACTGCACCCAAGGGACACCGAGCAGCAAGTTGATTTTTAAGCGGCGGTAGTGGTGGATTGAAGTGAACCTTCTGAATCAATGCTGGTGACATCGCCAAAATCACATGTTTGGCCTATGAAAAAAAAAATATTTTTAAAGATTTTTATGGAAGTAGCCTCATTCATAATATTAACACTATATTTTTCTTCTATCGTCATTCAAAATGTTTAATGTGTATATTTTAAAGTTAACATTTCAATATTTTCAATATTATTTATTCAATCTCAAATAGCAGCATTAACGCTGAATTGCATGAGAATACATTAAAATTCGGAAATACATAACCGAAAAACACATAAAATAGCACAAAAAGATGACATAATTGAGAACATTAAAATTAAATTGAGACCTATAAAACTAGAAATAAGATAAAATTCTTTAGATTAAACATTAAAATTCTATTTACATAAATAAAATATCCAAAAAACACAAGGAATAACAATTGGATTATGATTTATACAAAATTACACATTGGTGGATATAAAAATATAAACAATTTAAATTAAATTGACTAGAAAAATAACTGTTAGATTTCATATTAAACAAGGAAAATAGATGTGTTAAATCATATTGCAACAAGAGCCCCGCCTAAATTCTACTATAGGCCTACATATACTATAGTTCTGTTTAGGTCTTCCAATGATAAAAGAATTTATAGCATAGGCTTATAGCCAGTTAAAGTTGCATCCAGCAAAAATCAATGCGTTAAACTTAGGTTCATAATGGTGTGTGCATCTTTGCATTTACTACACCATCTGTGGGCTCAGTGCACCAACCGTTTTCTGCACTGTTCAGGACGTGTGACCACGTTCAAATGGACCATTCAATGTATTCACTGCAACGTTTAGCGCATTTTAGTGTAGGCCTACACCTCTGCATTCGTTCAGTTGGGAATACCATTTAACACGTTTAGAGTGCACCCTTCCGAGTGTTCAGTGCACCACTTAGTGCATAAATTAAATGCCTGGTAATAATTTTTCAAGTGTATATCACAATTCGGACAGAATCAGGGATAACATGGTGTCATAAAGGAATCATTGCAAGCAGTTTATAAAACAACGGTGGACTAGGCAACCGTCGTCATAATCATCGTTATCATCATTATATGCTTCGCCCGGAGCGCTGCTTAGAACTCAGTCGTGATCCTGTGTATTAGAGGGATAAAACATATAAATAAAGAAATAATAAGATTCGCCAGGTTTGAATCCTGTCAGAGGTATTTTATTACACAATTTCTTTAATTCTTTATTTATTTATTTATAGGACAACATTCGTTGAGAACTATGCTACACGATGTATTTATGTAGTCCTTTATTCGAACACTGTATTTACCTTTCTTTGATGATTTATATGATTTAACAGTGCGGTCACACACCCTAATTCTTTTTCTTAGATAGAAATTTCAGTTGTTCAACACATCATTTTTTTCTCTCCGGAAACTAGCATTAATGCCGGCTTGATTTTGCTTGCATATATTTGTATGTTGTACATTCTGTGCGATTTACAGTTTTACTAACTTTGTCCATGTAGTATCGTCAATCCATTTCTGTAGCGTTGTATTATCCATCTTTTCTGCGTCGGGACAATCCCAGGGATTAGCAACTGGTATCTAACAAACCAAAAAAAAAAGTTGCAGGCGAAAATTTTAGTATCAGAATCTAATTATTATTAATTGGCAACATATCAATGTCGTGCATTCGCTGATTGCTGATTATGATGAGAACAACAAACAAGAAGATAATAATATATGCCTAATGGTAATAATAATAATAATAATAATAATAATAATAATAATAATAATAATAATAGCAATTATGATAACTCAAAGTGATGATGGAAAATGATCATGATTACGATTATAAAAATAATAATAATGATTGATTATATATTGTCGTGTATTGTAAATACAGTATATGATTTTTCTGATATACCTTTTCACCGATTTTATCGATTTCCCGAATTACGTGATTTATATCCATCCAGACGATTGGGTTATAAAATGCCGGAGATGAACCTTCGTGGGGGTACACTTTACCCTATAAATGCCAAAACGTACTTGAATGAATTATGAATATATACAGCTATAGTATCACAGCCTAATATTGGACGGTCTCTAACAACAATAACAGACCGAATAAGAATATACAGTAGCACATTAAGCATGTTTCTCATAAAATGGCTGCAGTGCGTAGCTGTCCCAACGCAATCGAGAAGGCTCCCCCGTCGCAGTACATAGCATTAAAGCGATTTTATGAAAACAATACGCTTTACAACAACCACAACAAAAATAAAGATACACAGAAGAACACAATAAATCATTAGAAACATGGTGGACTAAAATATTGGATTAAGAAAGTTGTTCATATTTAACTATATTGAATCCGAAATAGTGTAATTAACGAGATATGAAGCTATGAAGTGTCTGTGATGGTTCACCATACTATGTTGAAACAAATAATATTAGGATATTATCCATTGTTATTATTTCACATTATAAATCTGAAGAAAATCACCGTTTATTTTGTCTACTATAACAAAAATAGTTGTTGTAACAGAAAGTTGTTCATATTTAACTATATTGAATCCGAAATAGTGTAATTAACGAGATATGAAGCTATGAAGTGTCTGTGATGGTTCACCATATTATGTTGAAACAAATAATATTAGGATATTATCCATTGTTATTATTTCACATTATAAATCTGAAGAAAATCACCGTTTATTTTGTCTACTATAACAAAAATTATAAACGCCTCCATCGACCATTCAGTAATCTTACATTCTGTAGCCAAGCCAATCGGCCATTTTCCTCAATTGTATAAGTCTCCAAGCCAAGTTCCTTAGCAACACGGAGCAAACGATCCTGTGTGCGTCCAACATACGAGCCACCAACATCAACGTACCCACCGACTGAAGCATCCTGTGGAAGATTATGTTAAAAAAAAACCCATGCATTATAATGACGTCAT